TGCAATTTAACTAAATTTGGTATAGATCCGGATGTTTGAGCTCGAGGTGTGAAAGTGATAAGGAACCTAGTGACAGTTAACATGCTTACCATCAACACTCATTTAAATAGCAAAAATCTGAATATGGACACACCCACGAGATGTAAGTTGGTATTTGGGTATAAAAATAGGCGGTGCTAGGATTAGATTAGCTAAAATAGTTAGTCAGATCTTTCATGTAATGACCATAAACTAAAAAAGTTTAATAAACGTTTCGCATGTAATGCGCTTTGCCTAAAAAAAAAATAAAATTATTTTGATAATAATTATTAATATTAATAAATATTTTTTATATAAAAGCTTTTGATATAAGTTTCAAAATAAATATTTATTTATTAAATAATATTATATATTGATAAAGATATTTATTTATTAATTTTTTTTAAAATTTTAAACTCAAGAATTTAAATTAATAAATTTGTAATAAAATAAATCACATAATTAATTAATATTATATGATTTATATATTCAAAATTAGAATTATACAGTGATACCTGTCTATTTGCATAAAGTTAGGACTATAGTGAAATTTTTATAAAAATATGCATTTAGACAGATTATACATATATATGTCAGATTTTTATAAGAGTTCTATAGGTTGGAACTGAGCAAGAAATATGCATTTGTATGTTTTTTATATAAAATATATAAATAAACAATATGTAAATAAACAGGTATTACTGTATTATTAAAATAATAAATCTATATCTCAAATTTTGATTTACTTTTAAAAATAATTACTTATATACTAATATTTATATTTTATATTTGTAATATTTTAATTAATTTATTTTAATTTTTATTAACAATTTTTATATATATTTAAATAAAATAAAATAAAATATATTGTGAAATAATATTTTTTTAAATGTATAATATATAATATATAATATATAAATAATGTTGATTTTAATAATATTTTTTTTACAAGTATAATTCAACATAAAAAAAGCTAAAATGATTATAAAATAAAAGTTATAAAAAATATTGCAAAGATAAATTATTTTATAACAATACTAATTTTTTTTATATAATTTTTTATAATAAAAAATAATTAACACTTACACAACATTATTAACACTTAAAATTTAATTATATCATATATTAAATATTTCTTCTGATATTTTTGAAATATTCTTGAGCTTTTGATCAACAAACAACAGTATACTTTTAATTCTTTGTGCCCTTTTTCTTTATTATTTGATTAAAAAAATTAATACTTGCAAGTAAATAAATACAAAAAAAGCCAATTAATCTTACTTTATTTATTGACTGTTCCAGACACCCTGTTACAATATATTTTGTTTTATTATTAATTAATTATTAAATTATAAGCTAAAAAAAACCCTTTTATACTCTCATTTGCATCTGTAAAAATTACTAAATAAGAAAAATTTAAAAATTTTTGCTCAAAGGAAATCAACTGGAGTAATGGTAAAAAAAAAAACGGTTTGCTTCCTTTTATATGTAAATTAAGTCTGGCAATTAAACGTATTACTAAAGTCACGGTTCAATTAAAAATTCAAATGTAAATCTGAGATATTAATCGCAATTTTTCTGCTCCATCGCTGATTATTGATCGTGTGTAAAAATTACAACTTTGAAGCTATTAAAAAATCACGTTTTGAACAAATTTTTAAAATGAAACATGAATATGATAAATTAAATTAAACCGGTATCCCAATTTTTATTGTTATCAAATAATTTTGGATAATAATAAGATCTGAATACTTTGCGGACCCCTGGCGCGTTAGAAATAAAATAATAATTATTGTAGAACGCCAAAGTATAAAAGTTTCATAACAATCGTTACATAGGTTATTGATTCGCTTTTCAAACCGAACAATAGTATTATAAATTTTCACAGATTCTGAAATAAGCCTGCTAGGTAGTGTCGAACTATAAAATGCCTAACAATGTTTCGACAATTTCTTTTTCTCTTCGAGCTCTTTCCTTAGAAGTTATCGTCGTTGTAATAGATTTTTCGTTATCTATTTCCATCGAATCATCGGTTTTTACAGGATTTTCGGCCTCATCCTGACCTCCATCGCCCATGTAATTATAATACTCTTGAAGAATAAGTAATAATCAAATCGTCAAATCGTACATTACCGTCATAAAAAAAGGAACATTGTGTGCAAAGAATAATACATACCTTCCAAAATGGCTTTTATATTGGCTAAGCTTCGACCTGTGCGATTCAAAAGGATTTCTACATGCTCTTTAATCTGTTAATCAGGAGAATGAAAAATGATATAATTGCATTTAGTGAATAATCAAATTAGGTAAACATAATTGGAAAGAAAAAAGTTGTCGATTTTTAGTTAACATAGTTATTATTATCTCTTTCATACTATTCCCATTAATAAATGTAAAAAAACCTGCCTTCGGTTCCTC